AGGACATGCACATGGCCAGGTGCATGATCCAATGATGGGCAAGTCCTAATCAGAGGTGACACAACCTAAGACAAACAAAAATACATAAGATTAGAGGAAGGAGATAGCCATCTCTCCTCAGGGAGCCACCTATGAGGTGGGTAACCCGTGAAATAAAGTCAGTCTGGCCTTAAAACAAAACAAAAAGGGGATATACGGAGGTACAGTAATAAGATGGCACTGAGCAGCTTAGGTGAAGATGGAGCCAGCTAGCCAACTTGGCGCGCAACAATAGGAGGAGAAGTAATACTGATTGTAGCTCAGCCAGTGAAGGATGCATGATCACCTCGTGAACACTGAGTTATGCTACGAGAAGGGCCTACGTGCTAATACGTGACCTCTGAGCTGATTGGATGCCGGCCTCCCTGCCTATGCTATGCTTGTGGTTTTTGCCTTTAAATATTGTTCAGCCTTAATAATAAATGAGCTCCTGCTAGACAAGACTCCCTGCCTCCTTGGTGGTACCTCGGGAACAGAGGGTTAGGACGGCAGCACACTCCCCCTCCTCGGCCCCCATCGTGCTGTGTGCGGGGAAGGACCCCCGCAGGCCAGCTAGGGATACAGGGAGACCCTGTCTCAAAAAGATCAAAACAAACAAACAACAACAACAAAGAAAACCAATGTTCCTCCTCTCCTTGCTGGATGTGGTGGTGCCTGCCTACTCAGGAGGCAGAGGCGGGTGGGTCTCTGTGGGATCAGGACCAGTTTGGTCTACATAGTAAGTTCCGGGCCAGCTGGGGCTACAGGGAGACCCTGTCTCAAACCAAACCAAACCAAAACAAAACAAGAACATTCCTCCTCTCTTTTTGCTTATTGACCTCACAGAACAATCAGTGATTGTTATTACTTACAAAAATAAAAATAAAAAGAGGAAATGAAGCTAGAAGGAGGATGGAGTGGGGGGCTGGGAAGGGGAGTTGGAGAGAGGTAGTGGATGAATATCATTAATGTACATTGTATACATTTTTGGAACTTTGTTTTTTTGTTTTGTTTTGTTTTTTGAGACATGTTCTTCCCACAGCCCCAGCTGGTCTGGAACTTACTATGTAGATCAGGGTATTCTCACCCTCACAGAGATCCACTTGCCTCTGCCTCCTGGGTGATGTGATTAAAGGCACATGTCACCATGCCCAACAAATGTATGAAACTTTCAAAGAATAAAAAAAAATCACTTAGAAAGTGACTAGAGGTTTTCTCAGGCTGTTGTAAGCTGGTGGTCATCAGTAACCTCTGCAGGAAGTCAGAGCTATGAGAGGACAGACTGGGAGCTTTGAGGTCTGGCTGAAGGAGGAGATGGGGGGTTTCTGTGTAGCCCAAAGATACATGGACAGACAGATGGGTGAGTGGATGACTGAAAAGATGGACAGATGGGTAGATGAATGAGGATATTGATGGGCAGATAAAAGGATGGGTACATGGGGGGTGAAATGGGTAAATGGATGGATGGGAACATTACTGGGTAAGTGGATGCATGGAGAGATGGATAAACGAATAATGGATGGATGAATGGATGGATGGAGGTTATGTGGATAGGTGATAGTTGAATAGATGGATGGATGGGTATTCAGATAAATGACTAGATGGGTGGATGAATAAATGTGTACAGAAGTACAACACAGTAACTTCTCTAAGCAACCTAACTTGGAAGGCCAGTCTACAATA